CGGTGCACACTAGACATATATGTATATGCAAGGGCCAGGTTGGAGGCGCTTGCAGTGAAACAACAAACTCAGCGCGGCCCTGCATCTGCACACTCGCTCGTTTCGAGAGAGGAAGAAAAAAAATCTCTCCCGACAACAAAGCTTCCTAATTTACACTTCCGTGGAAAAAGAAAAGCAGACAAAGAAACGGTGGTAACGTCTCGCTGGTTTGGAACTTTATGACCTAGCGTCAGTTATACAAGTACCAGGAGCCAGACTTTAAAGTTTACCCTTCATTTAGCTGGGGAGCTCACACTCGAGGGAGTAATGGCACATCCATTCATTGACTTTAATTATCGATTTTTCAAGCTCACAATACCTGCATTCCAAATGCTTTCTAACAACTTATGTTTAACAATTAGAATATATATATGTTGCTGTTGGGTAGTGTATCATACTATGAACCTAGAGACCTGAGCTCACCACATCCCGACTGGACGACAGCAAATGGTCTCCTTCACGCTCGTCCCAAATCCCTCATCTCTAAACTCACTCGTAAACGTTACCTCATCACTGCAAAACTCACATCGTAGTTCCCACCGGCACTGAATCCAGTCCAAGAAACTTTCAAGATGGGACTAATCAGCATATTCAATTTCCTCCAAGTACCCGTCCCCTGCCTACCTCTCTCCCTCCTCATCTTGATCTACTTCCCTCCAAATACTCTCCTACCGCTCACCACACTCTACTCACCTCCATGCACTCTCCGATCTCTCAATTCTCATCTCACTCCACTGCCCACCACACTCGCTCCAGCAACCAAGGCTTTCTATAACATTTCCCAGCCCACTTTTGCTTAGTGGGAGGTCGCTCATTCTCCTCTGCTGCTTTCCCCCAGCCGTCCGTGCTGTCAATTCCCCACCCCTATTCAAGACCTGCCTTTTCCCCCTCTGCCTTTGACTGAATGATTCTTTCTCCTGATAAAATGTCCACTGTTCTGCACAGCATGGCGAGATGCAGCTGCATTTCAACGGTCTATAAATCCAACCGCAAACACTCCTAATAGAGCCGCCACAATGTAGGCGACAGCAGTCCACGTGGAACGTTCAGCATCTATAGCGCACGCTGTTAGGATAGGGTGCGACAGGAACTCCCTCATTTCACCCAGAATGCAGTTGGTCATGACATCCCATGACTGACTGCATTCAAGCGATCACACTGTTGATGAAATTAAAAAGTACGTAACCAGTCTCGACACATTTTTAACTTTTAAACTGAAGTACATATTGGGAATAACTCGTGTTTTTTTTCTTCTTCTTTGTTAAATACATAATTAAGCGTGCTGTTCAAGTAACTCAATATCCCACTAAATATTTTTCTCAATTGAATAAATCGTGCTTCAAAAGGCCAAAAATAAAAGGCAACTGTTTAGCCATGTGGAACTTGCTTTCAATAATAAATCTGGATGGCAGCAGTAAATTATTAGAAGCACAATGAACAACTACCCTTCTCTGAACTCACAGTCATCCGTCAATGCCAGTGAGCTGTGGAGAATCAGCATTTTTCCACGTACTCAAGCTGGGGGAATGTATTTACTGAATTTAAGCATCTGCAGCTCACCAAGGCATCACCACGTGGTCAGGCATATCCTGAAAACCGCAAAGAACACTCGCATATGCGGCATCCTCGAGAATCACGAACATAGCCCACGGGCATTTCAGAAGGATGTCTGTTAACTGCCATCCTGCCCAGCTGGTTCAGCAGCAATGGATTCACCGATTCACAACCTTCCCGATACCACGAACGATCGCAACTCGTCGTCCCAATTCAAATTGAAGACGCCAATTTCTCTCTTAACACCACTCACGGCGGAAGCTCCTCCACTCGATAAGAGCCCCGGAAATCCCCTCGACAGGGATTTTGCATTGCTTACTCTCCTAAGCCAGCCGTCTCAGAAGTGGTGGGGGTTAACCACAACTTTCCACCCCACCACAAGCATCCTGCCTAACGACTAACTGCGGCGCATCCGTTTACGCAGCTGGGTGGACAGAGTTGTGGCAATGTAAGGATGTTTCCCCGCTGTTTCAATCCGCAGGTTACGATCAAGATATGATGCATGCACCGCAAGCACAGGAATCAATACTAATCGACGAAGCAATAGCCCACGTAGCTCAAATGCGCTATGGGCACAAATATCACGAATAAAGTCGAAGCGTAGTATTTTAATTGCCTCTCCGCTCTTACTCTATCCCTGCTTTTGCCCACGGAAAATAATTGCCTGCTCTGTGTTTGAAACTCAAATTCGATGGCCACCAATGTGAATTTGTTATCCGTTTGTAATACCCCAAATTCACATGGCAACCGGTGCCAGCTTGACTTGTGTGCAGGGCGGGTTGCACAACTGCAGGCCCCAGCAGGGCAGACTGATGCCTTCGAAATCTTTCGTGTTGCACATATCAGGAGAGACTGCACTGCCAACAGATTGAGTCTACAAGCAGCTGTTTGACCTGATAAAGAAAACACACCTGCACCACAATTAATTTCACTCTTCATTTGCACGATCACGCAATTACAATCTATCGTTAATAGAGGAGAGCGGAGGTGAATGTTAATGTTTTTACTTGAAAAAAAGTATGCAGTGAACAATCTGGAAAAAGCTGATAACATATAGTCCAGGTTATTTTTGCTCTCCCAGCATGTTACAGCATTTCACATTTGTTGTTACAAATACTGTATATATTCTTTCGATAATAAAGCATTCCCATCCACCCCCGGAATAGCACGGAATAGAATTGTAAGCTAAAATTATAATGGCATGATTAAAAAATGCAGCAATGCCACCTGCTCCAGCGGAGACAGATGGCCGCATCTGCAGTTGTGCCCCTTTCTCAGCAGAACATTCCCCTCGAAAAAGTTGAAATGAAGCGCGCGGTGAAAAATGAATGAAGTCGGGTAATCGCTCGAAGTCTCGGGCCATCTGCCACGCCGGCGTCACGCCTTCCAAACGGAGCTCCTCTCTCCCCTCGGCTCAAGTGCGAGTGCAGACGTGACGAGGCAACAAAATCAAGCGGCGGACGGACGGAGCGGCCAAGGCCATCAATCCAGCTACCGTCACAGAGCATCGACGCTCAGAATCACTCCCCCTTGCCCGGCACGCCCGGCACGCCTGGCAACGCGAGGACGGGCCGGCCGGGCGGCCTCGGCCGTGCCACAACGAGCCGCAGCTCTTGGCCCTGAGCCGCCACCGGTCAATCTCGGATACCCGTCCACAGGCATCGATCTTGTCACCGGCTGGCGAGAGCTCCGGGGGGAGAGAGCGTTCCACGAGTAAATAATTCGTGGTGCGCCTAGCGCGTAGCGCTCGCGAGGCCGCTAGCTTCGCGGGAAAGCGCGCGGAATCACGCTGGTTGTCGCCAACGCGACGATGTTCAGCTTACGCGATGCCGCGCAGCAAAGTCTAAACAACGAAAACCATACTTACAGCTCCCTCGGCTGAGATGACACAAGTCTGTCAATACCGATGTATTGCTTAAGATGAAATTTGAAGTCGCATACCCAGGTGACTTTTGTAAAATAGTCACAACAGGGACAAACGGGCGGCGAGTCTGTGCACAATGTTACTTTCGCATCCCCAAAATCAGCTGATACATTATCAACATCACGATCAGCATTATCACCGATGCTCTATCCACTGCCGCCCCACGCTGTCACCACCCCTCGCGGAATCGCAATGCCGCTATCCATCTCGTCCCTGTATGACTCTGGATCTAATCGCCTCATCTCTGCAGTGGTCACTCTCTTGGGCGTGCATTACATCCTTCGGCTAACATTCTGTGACCAGACTCGCCCATGGTCCATTAAACCCACTTGCTTACCATGTCCCCAATTTCCATTTTCGACCCTATCCATATGATTCTCCAAGTGTAATACAATACAGTAATAGTGTATATATATATAGTCTATGCACTTGGCATAGAGATTGCTGTTATATAGTTACGTACAAAGGTACACATATGAGATCACCAACACACACACACTCGACCTCTCTTGTGAACACCACAACCACCCTGAGAAGCTTGAACAAGATCGGGTGGCACACCCCAACCCCTCGTCCCCCCGCCCCCCAACCGTCGGTGGTGAAAGCCACGCTTCTTTATTCGCATGGCAGAGAGTCCATCCAGATTTGACCAAACTTCACCGTAATGACGTTCACGTCGGCGACTGCCGAGCGAGCCGGCGACAGCCCCCCCCAACCCACCCCGCCGGTGACCGATGTCAGCGGGCGGCGCGCGTGGCCACGCCGATTCCCGGTGGTTTTCAGCTCGGCCACTGCTGTCCCTTACCCCACACCACCCCCCATCAGCCTCAACTCTGCGGGGGGTGATTCTGAAAGGGGGCCACATCTGCCGTGCCGGGCGAACAAGAAGGGTGGCGCCGTGAAGTAAAAAAACGATCGCCCGCTCGCTCGCCCGCCTGCCCGCCCGCTCGCCCCCGGGGCGAACCGCCACGATCGGTTCAACTGGGAGTGAAGTGGGTGGTCGGGTAAATAAAAGAAAAGAAAAATATGGAGGGTTAAGGGCAAGTTATCTTAAAGGCCAAATAAATGTGGAGATCGTTTCGTCTTCCCGGTTGTTACCACCATTAAATTGTAGCCAATTTGTTCTCGACGGCAGGTAAGAAAAAGAAACCCAAGGAGCAAATGCAATGTCCAACCACGAGGAGATCCATTGTTGATGTCACGGAATCGACTCCACGACGGTAATGACGGGCTGAGCCAACCACCCCGCCAGTGATTTCGAAGAGACTAACCTCTCCGAATGCCCATTACAAAAATCACCCGGGGAATGTTCCAGATCTCGTCGGATCTCAAAAGCTCAGCAGGTTTTAGTCTGGTTGTTCCCACCGCCTGTATACCTGTGGCAGCAAAAACGAAGCTTACCAATGGGGGACACTGTGTGCGTGCGCGCGCAATGTGCGCGGCATTCCCAACGACCGTGCTGTGAGCGTGCGAGGTGACGTACAGGGGAGGCGCCTGATCGTGGGACGAGTTCTCCGGGAGGCACCTCGGCACCAACTGGTCACCAGCGGATGCAGCTCCCTCCAATCGGTCACCTGCATCATCCGCAGCAACTGCTCCCTCCGGCCTGCAGGTCAAGCAAATGGAACATCGTCATCCTCGTCGTCGTACGCAATTACGGATGAGGTCATCGGCAACCGCGATCAACCCCCCCCCCCGCTGAACTAAGGCATCTCCATGCCTTTTGAGTCATGGGGGTTATTTGACCATACCTCACCGTGCAGGTCAGTTTGTTTTTGATATAGGCGGGGAGTGGGCGGAGCGTACGGGTGCAGTACAAGAATGTTTTTTTGGTGCACTACCCATTGCTGTCTCCAGTGCAGGCCCGTAGCAGCCCGGTTTCATCCGACGTAGTAGCCACGCACCTGAGAACAATCCAGGCTCGAACCCGCTTAGCTTCCGAGACGATAAAATGGGAAAATTAATTGCCGATATGTGGGAAGTGGACAGCGGTCTCCCTAGGGAGAGACTGAGGCCATCTCTGGGAATGTGTAAATTGTTCACGACTGGCCCTGGACCGCCGCTGCCAATGGAGATGAGTGGAGCCTTCCGAGCTCGTACGGACCTTGACTTTTATAGCAACAACAAAGGCTCTAATTGGAACGTGAACGTTAATTGTATATTGTGAGTACTCCAAGCGCACCAATAAATACGTCCAAACGATGACATTAACAAGAACCGGAATGATTCCACCATGCGCCGTGAAGCTTAAACGCATCCCGTTAACAACAATCGGAGCACGTGTACGTTTCTAATGACAATCGACGCGTCTGTACGTTTATAAAGACAATCGACATGTGTATGTTTATAATGACAATCGATGCGTCTATACGTTATTAATCACAATCGACATGTGCACGTTTATAATGACAATCGGCACGCGTGTACGTTTATAAATTGGAAGCCACACCGTGGCACACTCCGCCTTGGGCAAAACGCTAAAAAGCAGAACGATCCGCTGTTTACCATCGGCCCACTTGCGGAGCTCATTTACGTTTATTTATACAAAACACGTACACTCGCCTTCGTCCGAAATGCCTTGAGGAGCCCATTACAGTACGTGCTAATTGAACCAAAGTGCTTGTTTAAGTCTAATAACGCTGTGCTGGGAGAAGAGAAGGCAGGGGAGGTGGGGGTAAATAAAAGTCCTCACGGACCACGGCTAATTGTCATGGAAATACGGGCAGGAGAAGAGGTAAACTTTAGAAAAAGCACGTGCACAGTTTGTTGACTCAGCTTAACGGGGGAGAGTGGCCTCGGTTGTTTTCGCTGGAAAGCCCAGGGCCGAAGCCAATTTAAATTTGAGCACGGGGCGGCGGGCGATTGACGGATGGACGGACAGGGTCAAGCAAACACTCGCTGTTGACAGGCACGTGCAGGTTTGGTCAGACTGGACTGGACTCACGGACGGATGGGCTGACTTATGAACTGACCGACGGATGGACGGATTGACCGATGAACTGAGTTTACTGACGCATGGACGGACAGGATTGAGCGACGGACAGACTGGACAGACAGACTGGACATACTGATGGACACACGAATGGGCTGATTCACCGCTGAACAGACAGACTGACCCACGGACCGATAGACTGATCGATTGATGGACAAACGGACGGGCTGACTGATTTACCAATGAACGGTCAGATAGACACACTGACGGACAGACTGACTGATGGACACACGAATGGGCAGACGTACTGCTGCAAAGACAGACAGACAGACTGACGGTCAGACAGGCTGATGGACTGACGACCGACCGACGGTCCGATGGACGGAGCGGACATCTGGCAAAGGCGCCGCCGACCGAAAGGAAAGGGATTGTCTAACGAAAGCAGCAGCTGGTGCGCGTTTGTGTCCCGTCCACGTTGGCGAGCTGAGCCAGGTCGGGCCAGCGCCAGCGGGCTCGCTGTCAAAACAAATCCCCTGTGACGACGTAGCCGTAATGCCCGTGTCAGATTTCCCCCCCCCCCCATCTCCACCCAGAAGAGTGGCGGGAGGGAGGAGGCGTAAGGGGTCGGTGGAGGGGTATAGGTCCTGATGTACACACACGCGACACTGTCTTCGGTTTAGAGTTGCCAACCAAGCGCCTGCTGACCGAGTGGTGTTTGACCATTTGCAACAAGAATAATGACGCTTATAACGCGCCAGATTTTGCAGACAAGTCAACTGGATTTAGTCCGAAGGAATACAAAAGCTATCCCTCCCCTTTATCCAATCTTTACATTAATAAACAAGTGCGTCATCAAGCAGACAGGCACTCATGCACGGAGATTAGCGGTTTCCAGATAGGGCGCAGTTTACATTGTACACGATGGGCACTGATGAAATGAGACAAAAAACCAGGGGCAATGCAAACACAGAGCACTTAAGTGCATCCGCGGGCCTAAAGCCGACAGCTGTTTTTGGTGACGCCATGGTTTTTTTCCCGCTATTGTGCGAGTGGGACTGATCTGTCCGTCATAGCCGTACGCACACACCCACACGGCATGCGCGCACCCACAGTGCATGCGCGCACACACACGGCATGCGCGCACACACACGGCATGCGCGCACACACACGGCATGCGCGCACCTACAGAGAACGCGTGCACCCACACGGGGCATCACGTGACACCCAACGCTTGTGCCAATGCTAGAGCAGAAATGCCACTTGTTGGGGAGCGCCCTCATCGAGCGGTGGATGAAAAGGGCATTGTATTGTCATTAAACTCGTTATGAACGTGCAACAAAAAATAAAAAAAACCTTCATCAAAAATGAGCACTTTTAAGAATTATTTGAAGGATTTTTAGAAACGAAAGAATAAATTGTTTGTATGATCCAAGACGTTGTCCGTGATCTCAGCAGGAGCAGAGGCTGAATAGCGGTCACTGGCGGATGAGCCAGTGGGTGGGCAGAGAACTGATAACAGACATCGTGAGCATAGCGGACACACACGCACACAGCCATTTGGCACGCTGCGTCTTGCACTGCCCGTGCATCGCCATTGCTGCCATCCTGGCTGAACAACGACGACGATGCAACATAAACAACGTGACGCGCTCCCCCTCACTGCGAGTGTTGTCGTCGAGCATTCCATCATCATCAGCATCAGCCATGATCTATCCACTGCTGGTTAAAGGCTTTTCATCTCTCACGGTCCTGCGATGTAACATTCATTCAGTTGATTTTTTGAGTAAAAACTCGCCCCCACTAAAGAGGGCATCGCAATACTTTACAGGATGCATTAAACGAAGGTAGTCCTCCTACCTATAAAATCAAGACACATGTAAAAATATAAAAATGAGAGGATTTACTCAAGGAAAAGCTAAAAGAAAAAAAGTCTTGAACTGTTTGTTCGGTCTTCTTGGTTCTTTCGGTAAAGTCACGTAGAAGGGAAGTAATAAAATAATAAAAATAGAACATAATTAAATTATTTTTATTATTTAATTACTTCCCTTCTACGTGACTTTACCGAAAGAACCAAGAAGATGAATCCCTGCAGTCACGAAAGCTTTAAATCGAAATGTTTGTTCGGTGCTCGGAGTCTATCTGAGGGCCGGCAGAACAGAGTTCTCCACATCTGAGGCACCACACTCGAGAAGGCCCCGACTGCGACCACTACCGCCCAGCGTAGAATGAAACATCCTAGGTTGAGTTCGCAGGACCTGGCCCGAGGAGCGTCCCATCTAGAGGACCTGCACACCGGCCGATTCTCCACGGTGGACGTCCTCTCAGCCGCGTTTCCTCGCCCTGGTGGCCACCGCTGGTTGGGGTCTACCACTGACCACCACCATCCCCGCTCGCCATGGCAAGGCCTGCCCAAGCACACTCACTTTACTTAACAATGACTCTAACTTGCCTACTTGCTCAAATCCTCGGGTGCCTTCGAGCATTATTGGTGATAGGTAAAATAAATACATTTTCTGTTCCACGGAAAAATCAGAGATTTTTAAAGTCAAATCAGTTTTTCCAGACTTATGTCAACCAGGCATGTAACAATACATTAGCCTAAACTGTACAGAGGAATAATAAACAATAATAATAAACAAGCAATGAATACCAACGATAGGGTAAACATTTGATGAAAAAATATTTATTCTGGAATCGAATTGCAAGAGTCAAGAATCGTGACAATAAAATTGCCGGGGGAAGTTGAGAATCGCTACACGTCATGCGTGCACGCTGAGCCCTTTCTCAATCCACTGCTGAATGAGGGCCTCCCCACGGCAACATGTGTCGTGGGCGTTATTTAATCATACGTCATTACGTGAGCCTATAACAACTTTGTTACGAACGGAGGTCACCCATCCACGCACTATCCAGGATTAGGTCAGCTTAGATTCCGAGGTCTGACAAATTTGGGACACACTGCTGGTGATTTTGTCATCTGGAAATGTACAGCTCGTTTTGAAGGCCGGACCGTGGTTTGAGTTATTTGCGGAGCCAATTTGGAAAGCTTTTTGAGGACCCTTTTCAATGCCAGAGTGGAACCACAATCCAACAAATGCTACCAGCCTGCCTGACAGGTGGCCAACTGCCATCAGCGCGTGTCTGCGTCGGATAGGCAATTTGGCACAATATCTTACACGTTTCCCTCCCACAGAGGCCACGTTGTATACGTTTAGCGCCTACGTACGCCGTAAATACACTGCAAGCCAGGTGCGTTGTTCGCCTTGGAGCATGGCACACTACTTTTCACGTGCGGTATCTAAAAAAGGCCTTAGTGCAAATATTCCCAAGTGATTGAATACATGAACTCGTCCTTATATAATACAAAGTGTATTTTAGTTTTTTTACGCAGTAATAATTACATTAATGCGGGTCTGTGATTCAACGGTTGGGGAGGCGAGGGCTGGCGGATCACGTGGAGATTTGTGAGATTCCCAGATGGCAGTACAGCAAAAGTGGATGTAATGAAACTGTACGGAACTCTTGAGTGCTCTCCCCCTTGTACGAGTTGGTTTTCGTCAGGCACATGGTGGATAGCTACCACAAGCCAAAGGCTAATTAATGGATATGGTCAAACATGCCATTTGCAGGACCCTCCTGAAACGAGATGCCTTGTAACCCAATGAGATTTTCCT